ACCCAAGGGTGATGGATTGGTACTTGAAAACCTCATGCATCCAAAATGTCAGGGGAAAAACAACCGGAGAGAGAGGGGAGGATGAGCCACAAGACTGGAAACTTGTGGGTTTACCCGAGGGAGTTCAGAAAATTGAGGAAAAATCACTTACGAGGGCCCCTTGGGGGCTAGCGAACTTTTGGATCTGGGGTTTTGAATATATATAAAGTTACAAATGGAAAAAGGTAACAGACTGGGAAAGGGGGCAGGGCCCAAAATATAAAAGGGGGACTAAACCGGGAGAGAAACTTCCTGCAAGGGTTTAGTGGGGCAGAGAAATGGTTGGAAAATTAGAAAAAGAGAAAGATGGAAATGTGGGGAACAAAGTCCCAAGGGGGCAAAAGGAAAAATTTTGTTTTCCCCCGGGAAACAGAAATAAAAGGGAAAACCAAAAAGAGCCTTTGGTTTCCCGAAGGTTTAAAGGGGGGCAAAAAATAAGTGCAAAAAGAGAAAAGGAAAAGGTACAGGAGGCATAGGACCCAGGAAACAAGGAGATTTTGTAAAGAGCCAAAACGAGTATGCCCCAAAAGGGGGAGGGGCCCCCGACAGGGATGAAAACGACAAGCATCAAAAGTCAAATCTGACCCGAAACCCGCTGGGATAGCCACATTAGGAAAGGGAAATCAACCCGTCAAGGACCAGGGGAAAGGGTAGGAAAAAAAAGGGAGAACTCACAAGAAAAAGATTTAAGAATATGGGGAAAGGGGCCCCAACACGAATTTAAGGAAGTATTTACAGTAAGAAAAGGAAGGACCCCGGGGGGGCAGGGGCCAAAATGGGGGCACCAGCAAGGAATTTCCCAACAAGTGTTAAAGACATACCCTACCCGATGAGGGGGAGGGGGAAAAACCCGCAAAGGGCCCTCGGGTACCCAAAGGCAAAAGGGACCGGACAACACTCCCCATGGGTCCTTAGAGAGGGAGCAATATGTTGTGCGTGCCACTTACCACAATCTTCAACACATCCCTGGAAACTGGGCAACTACCTGAGGTATGGAAGACGGCAAATGTAGTTCCCATTTTTAAAAAGGAACAGAAAAGAGGCACTAACTATAGACCTGTGTCATTGACGTGTATAGTATGCAAAATTATGGAGAAGATTATCAGGAGGAGAGTGGTGGAGCACCTGGAACGGAACAGGAGTATAAATGCCAACCAGCACGGATTCACGAAGGGCAAACCCTGTGTCACAAACCTTCTGGAGTTTTATGATAAAATAAACAGAAGTAAGACAAGAGAGAGAGGGTGGGTTGATTGCATCTTCTTGGACTGCAAGAAGGCCTTTGACACAGTTCCTCCACAAAGATTAGTGCAGAAGCTAGAGCATCAGGCGCATATAACGGGAAGGCACTGCAATGGATCAAGAATACCTGACAGGGGGGCAACAACGAGTCATGGTACGTAATGATGTATCACAGTGGGCACCTGTGACGAGCGGGGTCCCACAGGGGTCGGTCCTAGACCAGTGCTATTTTTGGTATATGTGAACGACATGACGGAAGGGTTAGACTCAAAGTGTCCCTGTTTGCAGATGATGTGAAGTTAATGAGGAGAATTAAATCTGATGAGGACCAGGCAGGACTTCAAAGAGACCTGGACAGACTGGACACCTGGTCCAGCAAATGGCTTTTTCGAATTTAATCCTGCCAAATGCAAAGTCATGAAGATAGGGAAGGGCACAGAAGACCACAGACAGAGTATAGGCTAGGTGGCCAAAGACTGCAAACCTCACTCAAGGAGAAAGATCTTGGGGTGAGTATAACACCGAGCATGTTCTCCGGAAGCACACATCAATCAGATAACTGCTGCAGCATATGGGCGCCTGGCAAACCTGAAACAGCATTCCGATACCTTAGAAAGGGAATCATTCAAGGCACTGTACACCGTGTATGTCAGGCCCATACTGGAGTATGCAGCACCTGTTTGGAACCCGCACTTGATAAAGCACGTCAAGAAACTAGAGAAAGTACAAAGGTTTGCGACAAGGTTAGTTCCAGAGCTAAGGGGAATGTCCTATGAAGAAAGATTAAGGGAAATCGGCCTGACGACACTGGAGGACAGGAGGGTCATGGGAGACATGATAACGACATATAAAATACTGCGTGGAATAGACAAGGTGGACAAAGACAGGATGTTCCAGGGAGGGGACACAGAAACAAGAGGCCAAAAATTGGAAGTTGAAGACACAAATGAGTCAGAGAGATAGTAGGAAGTATTTCTTCAGTCATAGAGTTGTAAGGCAGTGGAATAGCCTAGAAAATGACGTAGTGGAGGCAGGAACCATACACAGTTTTAAGACGAGGTTTGATAAAGCTCATGGAGCGGGGAGAGAGAGGGCCTAGTAGCAACCGGTGAAGAGGCGGGGCCAGGAGCTAGGACTCGACCCCTGCAACCACAAATAGGTGAGTACAAATAGGTGAGTACACACACACACACACACACACACTGATACTAGTCACTCACTCCTGCAAGCTATTGCCAGAATTAGAGTAGAAATAGCATAGAGGAGAGTGCAAGGAGTAAAGCGGTAGTGAGGGATAACGTCAGACACTTAAGTTGAGACAAGCTAAATTTTACAACCTAGCTACTTTCTGTATTTTATAAGTAGAATCGATAAGTGTTAGAAGTACTGGTAAGCTTAGAATTACTGGTATTACTACCGGGGGCACACACACACAGGAACAAGTACTTCTAAAAGCTGTAGTACACACGCACACACACACAGGGGCCAGGAGCTGTGAATCGACCCCTGCAACCACAAATAGGTGAGTACACATACACACGCACACACACACACATACACAGACACGCACACACACACACATACACACGCACACACACACACATACACACGCACACACACACACATACACAGACACGCGCACACACACACACATACACAGGAATTCACACCTTCCTGTGAAGTGACCCTCTAACCCTCCCTCTCTCTTTCTCTCTCTCACTACCTATCTCTCTACCTATCTCTCTCTACCTATCTCTCTCTTTACCTATCTCTCTCTTTACCTATCTCTCTACCTATCTCTCTCTCTCTCTACCTATCTCTCTCTCTCTCTACCTATCTCTCTCTCTCTCTACCTATCTCTCTCTCTCTCTACCTATCTCTCTCTCTTTCTACCTATCTCTCTCTCTCTCTACCTATCTCTCTCTTTCCCCTCTCCCATCTCTCCCCTCTCCCACATCGCCCCACTAACATCTCTTCCCTCTAACACCTCCCCCACTCTAACATCTCTCCCCCCCTAACATCTCTCCCCTCTCATTATCTCTCCCCTCTCCCTTTTCCCATCTCTCTCCCCTCTCTCTCCCCCTATCCTCTCTCTCCCCTCTCTCTCCTCTTCTCTCTTTTTTTTTTTTTTTTACGCAGGGTTTGACAAGGTTAAGGATCCCTAGCTTTATTGACAAGCTATTTACAGGTTAAGGATTCCTAACTTTATTGGCAAGCTAAGAGCTGTTACCTATATCTGCTCATTTGAAAGCATTTTTATTGTTATGAGACATACAAGTAGGGAACAGGGTGAAGTTGGAGCCATCTGTGGGCCAGCGTTTTCATTTGATCAACTGACTTTATCTCGTTGACATCATTATGCTGTACGAATGTGTTCCATACTCGAGTCATCCTGGGTATATATGATCTCAGGTGGAGTGATGTTCTGGAGAAGGGTACAGCCAGAGTGAAGTTGCTGCTTTCTGCCCGTCTTGTGGCATAAAAGCTTGTTTCACGCTGTCCTCGAAGTGGATCCAAGTGTGGCATTTTGACAATATTGGCCTTGTACATAACAGTATGCTGAACAAGTTACAATGGTAATGAACTGTTTGCATGTTTATATCTGGTTACAACCTCGGAATGGGTGGCCATTTCGAGGTTTGTTTACAATTGTGTTGTTCCTATTTCGCCAGTTAAATTCTTCCATGGTGAGGTTATCCTAGATTTTCCAGTAATGGGTGTTCATCGCTGCTATCAAAGCTTTTTCCACAAAATCCTTAGTGTATCGCAGTCCCGCCGTAATATCATAGATTTTCTGAATTTACTCATCCAAATACTCAGGGCAACATATGCACAAAGTTCTCAAAAACATTGTGAGAAACATTTCTTTTTACTCTTGTTTCATAAATGAAATATTAGTGGTTGATCGGTTGGTCAACTCATCATGGAACGGGAGTCTGTTATTCACTTCCTCCTCAACTAAGAGTTTAGTCTTAGTTTAGTATATTATGCATCACAATAACAACCTCCAGGTATACATAACCATGGTATGTATACCCATGGTATGGTGGTAACCAAAAGATTACGGAGGCACATAATGGGTCCAGGAACTGGACTGCAGAGTTTTAACTGCTGAACAAGTTACAATGGTAATGAACTGTTTGCATGTTTATATCTGGTTACAATCATAATGAAGTGGTAGTGCAGAAATGAATTAAGTCACAAAATATTACTCTAGCTTATATGTAGTAATGAGTTATTTACTATAGCCAGAGTCAGGGTATTTTTCCAGAATGGTTGGTAATATACCACTGTGGATACAATACATTTCTTGAACATTTCTGAGTGAGTTGTCTCTTAATTCATCAGTTTTATGGCATTCCAGCACATAATGACGCAAGATGTGACAATTGTCCATCTGGCAAAGTTTATATTTAGTTACATCTACATCAGCTATATACTGTTAGTAATGACTGCTAAAATTGTCTCTAATACGAGTATTACCGAATCTTTTTGTAGACGTCACAAACTTGGTCTTCAGTTCGAATCTCACCAATTAAAAAAATTTATAACCATTTATTAAGAATTTTTTCTAAAACATTCCACATAATTACTTAATTTATCTTATGTTTAGAAGTTTAGTGAGATTGTTAAGAACATGAGAGTAAAGTAAGTATATTCTTGAAATCCAACAAACTTGGCGTTATTGATAATGTTCCGTTCAAATGTTCATGATACAGGTGTGATAGTGCCCTCCTCGCTACCAGTTGACTGCACCGATGGTTACTATTTCAACGATGGCCACGCAGTTCCTCGGTGTGACCCCATAAGTGATGCTGGAGCAGATTTCTGCAGCGACCTTTGCAATCCCTGTGTATACCAGTGTGATACAGCCGGCCAAGTCACGCCCAACCCCACGAACTGCAACACCTATTACGTGTGTCTTGCGGGCGGCCACGTCTTGGAACAACCGTGTCCTGGCGACGCTCCGTTCTTTGATTTCAACACAGGAGAATGCACGCTGGATGACACCTTGTGTTACAATTACTGCGATCCCTGCGTGCCTCACTGTACTAAGCAAAACGAGAAAGTTCCAGACCCTCTTGATTGTCACAATTTCTATGAGTGTAATCCCCCAAACATCGCCAGCTTCACCTGCCCACACACAGAGATCTTCAGCAGGGTCACACTAGAATGTGAAGCAGATGCTGATTGTATCATTGACTGTTAAGAGTTGGAAAAGGTGACACTTGTGTCTAGGAAGAGTGTCACCTGAAGCAAGATTTAGTCATAAGACCCTGCAAAGTGAAGCGACAACAACAATGATCACTGGGTAACCACTACTGACTTTTCTATGCACCTACTTTTACTGACGTAAACGTAGGTGCATAGAGTCAGCATCTGTCAAATAGGAATTGTAGGGAATTAATTCTATTTCTAAATTATATATATTACCAGACACGAAACTTACTGTAGCAAAAAAATATATATTTAACATTATATATTCGTAATTGCAGTGATATTCAGAACAGTGATATAAAATAACTCACTGTTAATATGATTTAAATTTAAAAACTTTTAAATTTTTACATTTTGATCTGTATTTTCAACAAGCTACCAATTTTTCATCTAAATGATACCTACACATTATGTACAAGATACATACTATTTACAAGACACACACATTATCTACAACATACAAAGTTAATTGTTCATAAGATAATTATTATTTTCTACACGTTTCCTGTTAATTATCAACAGGTTATCTTGATTGTCAATGTAGACGGAGTTGTAATTACCAACCTACAGAGAATTATTGTCAACATTCTGTACAGTCTGCTCTGTTATCATTGTATCTTCATTGAATAACCAGCATATTCAGTCTGATCTAAATAGAAAATAAAAATCTGGCAATATCAAAAACGAAAACAATTTATCCTGTTATCATTATATTCGTAATTTGTTTGCAATAGTGTTATTACTCTTAACAATCATTACTTAACGTGCTCTCAAAAGTAAGCTCATAAATTGGACCTGACTTGACATGACATCAACATTTCATGTGACCATTTATCACTCAATTTCACAGGTGTAACCTGACACTGGGACCCACTGAGAGCGCCGCAACAATGACCTTCAGGATACAAACTTTACAAATATAAATATACCAAGAAAATTAAAAATAAGAGAAGATATATGCATTTCGGAGCAAATTCCTCAAGTTCAGATTTTAAAGTTTAAGTCATGTCAACAAACCGGCCGTATTCCACCGATTCAGGGGATGCAGAAGATGGGGTTACTAGCCCCTTGCTCCCGGCATTTTAGTCGCCTCTTATGAAAAGCATGGCTAACAGAGTAAGAACTCTGTTCCTCTTCCCCATGGAGATAAGAAGAAATAAACAAAAACAGGAACTATTAAGAAAATAGAATAAAACCCAGAGGGGTGTATATATATATGCTGCTATATGTACGTGTAGTGTGAGCCAAGTGTAAGTAGAAGTAGCAAGAAATACCTACTATCCCGCGTATTTATGAGACAAAAAAAAAAAGACACCATCAATCTACCATCATGTAAAATAATTTCAGATTTCGGTTTTACACTCACTTGGCAGGATGGTAGTACCTCCCTGGGTGGTTGCTGTCTACCAACCTACTACCACAGGATGGTAGTACCTCCCTGGGTGGTTGCTGTCTACCAACCTACTACCACAGGATGGTAGTACCTCCCTGGGTGGTTGCTGTCCACCAACCTACTACCACAGGATGGTAGTACCTCCCTGGGTGGTTGCTGTCTACCAACCTACTACCACAGGACGGTAGTACCTCCGTGGGTGGTTGCTGTCTACCAACCTACTACCACAAGATGGTAGTACCTCCATGGGTGGTTGCTGTCTACCAACCTACTACCACAGGATGGTAGTACCTCCCTGGGTGGTTGCTGTCTACCAACCTACTACCACAGGACGGTAGTACCTCCATGGGTGGTTTCTGTCTACCAACCTACTACCACAGGATGGTAGTACCTCCCTGGGTGGTTGCTGTCTACCAACCTTTACTACCACAGGACGGTAGTACCTCCCTGGGTGGTTGCTGTCTACCATCTACTACCACAGGACGGTGTACCCCCCTGGGTGGTTGTGTCTACCATCCTACTACCACAGGATGGTAGTACCTCCCTGGGTGGTTGCTGTCTACCATCCTACTACCACAGGATGGTAGTACCTCCCTGGGTGGTTGCTGTCTACCATCCTACTACAACAGGATAGTAGTATGTGATGAATGGTTTGAAAAACCGACAAGTTGAAGATTGAGACACTTATGCAGCACATGGGAATCTTTATTCGGGAAAACGTTCGCCACACGGGTGGCTTCATCAGTCCAATACAAAGAGGAAGGATTAGGAGAGGAGGAGTAGAGGTATCAGCCCCTCAGGCCTGATCGATGTGTTCAGTCCATCAATCTGTAGAATGTACTGCATAGGGCCGTAGACGTGGCTTCCTCACCTCACTACAGTATATAAGCCCACGTCTACGGCCCTTGCTGTACATTCTACAAGATTGATGGATGAACACATCGACTCCGGGTGAGGACGGGATTACCTCATACTCCTCCTTCCTTATGCACTCTCTTTGTATTGACTGATGAAGCCACTGGGGGTGGCAAACTTTCTGAATAAAGTTTCCCCATATGCTGCATAAGTGTCTCAATCTTCAGGATAGTAGTACCTCCCTGGGTGGTTGCTGTCTACCATTCTACTACCACAGGATAGTAGTACCTCCCTGGGTGGTTGCTGTCTACCATCCTACTACCACAGGATGGCATAACCTCCTGGGTGGTTGCTGTTACAAAACTACTACCACAAGATAGTAGTACTCCCTGGGTGGTTGCTGCTACCATCCTATTTACCACAGGGGGGTTAGTACCTCCCTGGGTGGTTGTTGTCTACCTTTCCTACTACCACAGGATGGTAGTACCCCCCTGGGTGGTTGCTGTCTACCATCCTACTATCAAAAGATGGTAGAAACCTCCCTGGTGGTTGCTGTCTACCACCCTACAAACCACAGGGCGGTAGTACCTCCCTGAGTGGTTGCTGTCTCCCAAACCCTACTACCACAGGTGGTAGTACCTCCCTGGGTGGTTGCTGTCTACCATCCTACTACCACAGGATGGTAGAACCTCCCTGGGTGGTTGCTGTCTACCATACTACTACCACAGGATGGTAGTACCTCCCTGGATGGTTGCTGTCTACCATCGTACTACCACAGGATGGTAGTACCTCCCTGGGTGGTTGCTGTCTACCAACCTACTACCACAGGGCGGTAGTACCTCCCTGGGTGGTTTGCTGTTCCCAAAACCTACTACCACAGGATGGTAGTACCTCCCTGGGTGGTTGCTGTCTACCAACCTACTACCCCAGAACGGTAGTAACCCCCTGGGTGGTTGCTGTCTACCAACCTACTACCACAGAACGGTAGTACCCCCCTGGGTGGTTGCTGTCTACCAAACCCTACTACCACAGGGACGGTAGTACCCCCTGGGTGGTTGCGGGTTCCCCAACCTACTACCCCAGAAGGTAGTACCCCCCTGGGTGGTTGCTGTTCCCAAACTACTACCACAGGACGGTAGTACCCCCCTGGGTGGTTGCTGTCTCCCAAACCTACTACCACAGGACGGTGTACCCCCCTGGGTGGTTGCTGTCTACCAACCTACTACCACGGACGGTAATACCCCCTGGGGGGTTTGCTGTTTACCAACCTACTACACGGGAAACGGTATTTACCCCCTGGGGGGTTTTGCTGTCTACCAACCTACTACCCAGAACGGTAGTACCCACTGGGTGGTTGCTGTCTAAAAAACCCACTACCCAGAACGGTAGTTTACACCCCTGGGGTTGCTGTCTCCCAACCTACTACCAAGGACGGTTTTACCCTGGGTGGTTGCTGTCTACCAACCTACTACCACAGGACGGTAATACCCCCCCGGGTGGTTGCTGTCTACCAACCTACTACCACGGGCGGTAGTACACCCCTGGGGGGTTTTGCTGTCTACCAACCTACTACCACAGGACAGTAGTACCCCCCTGGGTGGATGCTGTCTACCAACCTACTACCACAGGACGGTAGTACACCCCTGGGTGGTTGCTGTCTACCAACCTACTACCACAGGACGGTAGTACCCCCCTGGGTGGATGCTGTCTACCAACCTTCTACCACAGGACGGTAGTACCCCCCTGGGTGGTTGCTGTCTACCAACCTACTACCACAGGACGGTAGTACCCCCCTGGGTGGATGCTGTCTCCCAAACCTACTACCACTGGACGGTAGTACACCCTGGGTGGTTGCTGTCTACCAACCTACTACAACAGGACGGTAGTCCCCCCCTGGGTGGTTGCTGTCTCCCAACCCTTTACTACCACAGGACGGTAGTACGCCCCTGGGTGGTTTGCTGTCTACCAACCTATACCACAGGACGGTAGTACCCCCCTGGGTGGTTGCTGTCTACCAACCTACTACCACAGGACGGTAGTACACCCCTGGGTGGTTGCTGTCTACCAACCTACTACCACAGGACGGTAGTACACCGCTGGGTGGTTGCTGTCTCCAACCTATTTCCCACAGGACGGTAGTACCCCCTGGGTGGATGCTGTCTACCAACCTACTACCACAGGATGGTAGTACCTCCCTGGGTGGTTGCTATCTACCAACCTACTACCACAGGACTGTATTACCCCCCTGGGTGGATGCTGTCTACCAACCTACTACCACAGGATGGTAGTACCCCCCTGGGTGGATGCTGTCTACCAACCTACTACCACAGGACGGTAGTACCCCCCTGGGTGGATGGTGTCTACCAACCTACTACCACAGGATGGTAGTACCCCCCTGGGTGGTTGCTGTCTACCAACCTACTACCACAGGACGGTAGTACCCCCCTGGGTGGGTGCTGTCTACCAACCTACTACCACAGGACGGTAGTACCCCCCTGGGTGGATGCTGTCTACCAACCTACTACCACAGGACGGTAGTACCCCCCTGGGTGGATGCTGTCTACCAACCTACTACCACAGGACGGTAGTACCCCCCTGGGTGGTTGCTGTCTACCAACCTACTACCACAGGACGGTAGTACCCCCTTGGGTGGTTGCTGTCTACCAACCTACTACCACAGGACGGTAGTACACCCCTGGGTGGTTGCTGTCTCCCAAACCTACTACCACAGGACGGTAGACCCCCTGGGTGGTTGCTGTCTACCAACCTACTACCACATGACGGTAGTACCCCCTGGGTGGTTGCTGTCTACCAACCTTCTACCACAGGACGGTAGTACCCCCCTGGGTGGTTGCTGTCTACCAACCTACTACCACAGGACGGTAGTACCCCCCTGGGTGGTTGCTGTCTACCAACCTACTACCACAGGACGGTAGTACCTCCCTGGGTGGTTTCTGTTACCAACCTACTACCCCAAAACGGTAGTACCCCCCTGGGTGGTTGCTGTCCTACCAACCTACTCCACTGACGGTAGTACCTCCTGGGTCGTTGCTGTCTCCCAAACCTACTACCACAGGACGGTAGTACCCCCTGGGGGGTTTGCTGTCTCCCAAAACCTACTACCACAGGACGGTAGTACCCCCTGGGTGGTTGCTGTCTCCCAACCTACTACCACGGGACGGTAGTACCTCCCTGGGTGGTTGCAGTCTACCAACCTACAAACCGCGGACGGTAGTACCCCCTGGGTGGTTGCTGTCTCCCAAAACCTACTACCACAGGACGGTAGTACATCCCTGGGTGGTTGCAGTTACCAACCTACTACCACAGGACGGTAGTACCCCCGGGTTTGTTGCTGTCTACCAACCTACTACCACAGGACGGTAGTACCCCCCTGGGTGGTTGCTGTCTACCAACCTACTACCACAGGACGGTAGTACCCCCTGGG